GAATGGGGAAGGGGCTTAGACACTGGTTTGCAGGCCTCCATCTCTCACTACTCAGGAAGCATCTGCCTAGCTTTCTGACTCACTGAGCTGTGGGATCCTGCACTTCTTGGACCAGGCTCGCTATGGTACCTATGACCTTCTTTCCTTCTCCTTGCCAGTTCCTAGTGTAGGAGGGGCAGACATGCTTCACTACCTTAGAGTCAAGAGGGGGCAAAAAAAGGGCATGAGCCAATCACCTCCCCTGCCTCAGTTTGCCTTCATGAAACTCAGAATAAACATAGAACCTGCCTGCCTAAGGAAGTGCATAGTCAGAGCTCAAAAACAAATGACTGTCATTATCTTGCCAATGGGGTGTCCAGCCTCATCAAAGTGCCTGAGCACTGTCACTTAAAGCTTCCTGGTTTCCATGTGGTCCAGGGACACAGCTCTCCCCCACCGAGCCATTTTAAAGATATAATTGGTATCCCTGTTTACATGTGGTCCACAGAAACAGCTCTCGCTCACATGACCTTTTTAAAGGTATAAATTGTTATTCAGAAACATTGAAATTGAGCCCACATTTTGCACTGGACAGCCTTTTATTCTTCCATGTATTTTTACACAATGAAAAAAAGTCTTCTTTCTTCCAGAGTTTAAGGGCTAGCCTCATTTTTCCATGGATGAATCCCCTGGTCTAACAGGTACCAAGACAATTCTGCATATCAACTGTATACTTCTTGGGAGTAAGATCAAAATTGATCTCCAAGTCCCCTTTGAGAGGTCCAGGATGAAGCCTGAGGCATGAACAATTCAGGGCATGAGCTTGATTCTCTTTCCTGGGAGTACAGGAATATGTCTAGACATCCCTGATAGTCATGATCAGGAGATTATGGCATCCATTGGGCATATTGCTAAACATCCCACAGGACAAACACCCATAAGTGGAGTATATACCTACTACCATCTTTGAGACCTCTCAGATCAGCAGAAATGATGCCCAGGTTACTCCTGCAAGTTCCACTCAAGAACTCATCATCACAGAAAACTGGCTTCTTTAAGGCAGTGCAGGGAGTCTCCAAGTCTGGGACATCTCCAGCAAGCCCAGCATATATGGAAAGCTGAGTAGAAGAGGCTCTCTACAGTTACTCAAATACAAGAGGTGGACCAAAGCCCACAATAGTTTTTTTAAAGGGAACTCTGGAGAGTACCTCCAACAGCCAGGACTACTACCACGCTACTCAAGGTAGACAATCAACAGGAGTCTATGAGTGGTCCAGGCTAGCCCAAGAAAACTCTACTCTAGGTCTTCCTAGGGTGCACAGCAGATGGCTTGCTACACGGCTCACCTTTCTGAGGTGGCTTTGATCTCTGTCCGCCTGTATTTAGAAAATACAAAATAAAGTTGGATGTGAGAACAGTATCGCCCAGGGCCCACATCCTAAGGATAAATGCTTCTAGTTCCTAATTCTTTCTGTAATGATCGCTCCACCTGACATGCACAGGGGCAAATTGACTATTTTCTCTTATACACTGAAATTGTAAGTGAAAAGGATAGTATCTCAGAGCAGGTGCTTCTAACAGGCAATACCCTCCCACTGCGGGGTGTGTGTGTGTGTGTGTGTGTGTGTGTGTGTGTGTATGTGTGTGTGTGTGTGTGAATGATGTACACCACGCACATACCATGTACAGACCTTCCATTCCCAAGCAAGACCCCAGTTATAACAACCAAAAGTCACCTCCAAGCTTAGCTCTTTCTGAACCCACACATTATTGGCTCACCATTCTAGGAATGCACAGGGCAACATAACAGTTAGCCAAAAGCTTCAAGATCTGAAAATCAGTCCTCTTTCTTGGCAGAGCTTCTCCTTGCAAAACTTTCTACACAACTTCATGATCTGGCTACCCAATTGGAGAGAGCCTCTGTACACACCTTCTATTATGGTAGCTGTATCTTAAACAGCGAGCCCTGGAGGAGGGATGCTATGCCGTTGTAGAGGGCAGTCATGGCTACAAGAAGAAGAAGGAGTGGGGAGAAGGAGGGGAAGGAGGGAAAGAAGAAGAAGAAGAAGAAGAAGAAGAAGAAGAAGAAGAAGAGGAGGAGGAGGAGGAGTAGGAGGAGGAGGAGGAGGAGGAGGAGGAGGAGGAGGAGGAGGAGGAGGAGGAGGAGGAGGAGGAGGAAGAAGAAGAAGAGGAGGAGGAAGAGGAGGAGGAAGAAGAAGAAGAGGAAGAAGACAACGCTGCTAGTTCAGACACTTTGCCAAGGTGAGGGACTTTATTCTTTTTTTTTTCCCTCCAAAATGCAGCCTCTACAACCAGAGAAATGGTATAGGACATCAAGGGAAGACCTTACCTGGAGACACCATGAAGCTGGGCTCACCACTCAAGGACTTCCAAGTCCTAGCAGGTAGGCTGAGGGGAGGGCATTTCTGTACTCAGCATGGCCCCAAAATGACCTACTGGAAACTCACTTATGATTTAAATTTGTATCAAGTCTCACTTTAAATAATGTTAAGAACAAAATGCAAGCTGATATTTCAGCTTACTTAAAAGGCTTATTAAAAACACTAAATCTAAGGATCTTAAAAAGCTGTAATTGTCCTCATTGAAACTAGAAAAATAAATCTATTTTGCTTTCTTCTTTTATGTTCCCCTTCTTTAAAAAAAAAAAAAAACAAATTCATCTATATCCTCACGAGCATCATTGCTGTCTTTTTTTCCCTTTCCATTCAAGGCACTTTAAAAACACCTGTGCCATTCATAGACAACTTTTGAGCAAAAGGCAGTCATGCTTGTGGAAGGCTGTTTAACTGATTTCCTGATGTCAGAGATAAGCTCGTCTTGCTCTAAAAGTAAGATGGAGTTTGGAGCTCAGCATGAAAGGGCTTGTAGGTTTTATGGGTCTGAGCTGATGAAATTTCCTTGGTTACCTGAGGCAGAAGAGACAACCCAATGGGTCAGCTTTTGGAGGCTCGGCAGACACTGCATATCCAAGCACTGCCTTCAATTCCCCATGGGCAGATCCGACCAGTAGGACCACATGTCTTGACCAGTTCCTATCTTTTCCCATAATAGAGGCTATTAGCCTCTGGCTTGGACCAACCCAGCATGACAGTTGCTCCACGCCTGCCCTAAGCCTTCAGTGAAGACAGCTCTGACCAGCAGTTAAATTGCTGAGTTGTAAGGATCTGAAGCCTGCTCAGAAGTTAAACACTCCAGGCATAGAACACGATGGGTTTTCAGAGCACTGGTCCAAGAGAATGCAAATGTATTGAAAGCATTCTTTTCTCCAGGTTTTACATAATTACCATTTATGTCTCCAGGAACTGTTTCCCCAGCCCAGTTTAGGGTGGAAGCATTTTAAAGACTTTCTCTGCAGATGACATATGAGGCACTAACCTTTTTTCATGTGCCCAGATGTTAAGTTCATTTTCATCACATTTATGCAAATTTCATTTGAACAGTAAATCAAAAGAAATCTTAAATCATCGTACACTATTTAAAAATCAACACTAAAGCCGGTTTACTTGAAGCTATCTCTAACATAAAGTCATGGTTAATGAACTGAATACCACAGTTCTTTTTTCCATACAAGGGCTATAACAAGATCTGAGGTCCTCAGCATCTACCACATCTGAGCATTCCTGCCCGTTCACTCTCAGAGTCCAGTTTACCCAGATTAAGAATGTTCTGTACATCAAAGCCTTCCAAAAGTTTTCCAAACTTTGGGAAATCAGGGGACCCTCAGTCCAGGAGTCTGACAACCACAGTAGTGTCTACGTTAGGCCCACCAATGTAAAAACTGAGCTCAGTGGCCATGCTTTTGGTAGCTGATTCTTTGTTGGTCAGGTGGGGGGGGGGCTAATTCCTAGGGCTCTGTGTCCTGCGATTGTCAGGGAGCTGGGCAAAGTGCTATCGTTACCAGCAACTCAGCCAGGCGAGTAATGGTGGGATCAAGAGACATTTGCACCGCTATCAGGATGACATCATAGCTAAAGCAGCCTTCAGCCAAAGCCCTAGGCTCTCTTAGAGCAGAGGCCAAAGGGCTATGGGGGGGGAGGTGCCCCCCTGCAACTCCCAGAACTGAAAGCTGAGTCTCAAGCCCCTGCCATGCAGGGTGGTGGGCCTTGCCCACAGCCAAGTTCCCAGGCAGGCCCTGAATTGGGAAGGACAGCTGGAGTCTTCTCCAAGGCAATCCACTTTCCCCTTCCATCTTGTTCACTGTAAATACTACCACTACTAATAATATATTATGCATTTTTTAACAATTTGAAATTGTGAAGCCACTTCCCTGACCAGGGTGGAGCCGGCATGTCATGCCCGCAGCTGCATTTATGCTGTAGAATTTATAGCATTTCCAACTAAACTGTCTATCTGTTGATGGTGACCCTGTCTTAGGCAAAACAGCTCTCACTCCATTCTTCAAGCAATAGAAACAGAGGACGCTGAAGGGGAAGGCGGACTAGAAGGGAAGCCTTCCTGCTCTTGTTTTGGTTGCTTTTCTTCCTTTTAAAGCACAGCAAAACACACGAGCGCACACACAAGCGCACGCACACACTGAGACACAAACCTGAGAATAATGGGGGAGGCATTTGGCGACAAACTGCATCCGCGACGCGGCGCGACAGGCAGCCAACCCCGCTCACTCGCAGCTCAGCTCTCCACGCCGCGGTAGCGGCGGCGGCGACGGCGACAGGGACCCTCCACCCTCCCAGAGAACCACTTATGCCCTACTCTCAACTATGTCCCCAAGATCTTCTCTTCAGTCTCGCCTCAACTATGCGCGTGGTCCAGATACCTCACCTCGCCGGAAAAGTGGAGAGACGAGTGGGAATTCTGTTTTTTTTTTAACAGCAAAAAAAAACAAAAAAACAAAACAAAACAAAAAAAAGTTCCTCGAACATCCAGCCCAGCAGATGCAATTCTCCCGCCCGCTGCACACTCTCACCCGAGCCGACCGGGCACTCACCCCCAGCACTGCGCCCTCACCTCGGGGCGCGCGGAGGGCACCGCGGGGCACTTACTTGGCACTTGCTTTTGAGTGTGCAGGTCGTCGCGGTTTTCACTTGGGTTTTCAAATAAGTTTCAGGGAGGAAGGAGGCAAAAAAAAAAATCCAATTATGCAAATGGACTCCGGCCGGGGGAGGCGCGCGTTGAATCTGACGCTGCTACTGTACGAGTTCTTGGAGCAGCCCCGGCCCGGCAGATTTATGGGGGCGCGTCACGGCTACGCCAGGTCCCGCTGCCGGAGCATCTCGAAGTTAATTAAAGCGGTAATGTCCACTTTCCTGGCGACCCTCCTTGCGTGGGTTTGCTATTTCACCCTCCAACGGGACCCGGGAAGGGACACGGGTGTGCCCCCCACGCCCCTCTTCTTTCTCTTTTCTCCTTCCCCCTCTTCTGCCTCTCTCTTTCTCTCCCTCCTTTTTCCTCTCTTTAAGTCGCCTGCCTTGCACTCAGTGAACAATGAACAAAGATGTGAGTGATGGGGAAAGATCGCCCCCCTCCCAGCCCAAGCAGTGAGCGAAGCTGGTCTCAAAGTCAAAATCCAGTTGTTGAAAACTGAGAAAGAAAACCGGAGTCTCCACGCTAGCCTCCCTTTCTACACATGGACACACGCACGCACACGTATGAGCAAGCACACTCCACCCCAAGTTCACCTAAGCCCTGCCTGGAGACCTAGGGACCGTGGGGGGAAAACCAAGGCCCAGGCGCGCAAGGCTGCCCAACTCGCGGAGGACACGAGGGGACAGCAGGGACAGGGAGCTGTGCTCGCTCGGGCTAAGATCATTTCCCGAGCCCCTCCCAGTCTGCTACCCCCACCACTACCCTCCGGCCCCCTCCCGACGTCTACACCGAGCGGCCTGGCCCCGCGGCCCCGCTCCGGCTGCAGCCGGCCGGATGCGCTCAGCAAACGCGGCCCCTGTCGGATTTCTGCTAAACTGCAGAGCGGCGGCGGCGGCTACCCAGAGAAGCGCAGGAAGAACCCAAGGCCAGCTCGGCGCGCATTCACCCCGCCTGGCCCGCTAGTCCTAAAGCCGGTGCCCCGGGCCGCCCACCCGCGCGCACCTCCGAAGCTGCACACGCACCGCGTGCTCGAGCCCCGCAGGCAGGGACCGCGCGTAGCCGCCGTTATTTTCCGCTCAAGTGAAAACTAAGGCGGCTGACGAATCACGTCTCCTGCGAGGCACCCGTTAGACAAAACAATATCCTGCAAACAAAACCCGGCCACCGCTGCCACCCGCGCGCCAGGCCGGGACCCCGCCCTGCTCCTCCCAGGCCCCAGCCCCCGGCTTCTGCTCGCACCGACCCCAGCCTTGCACGCCTGCATCCTTCCAGGAGAGAACTCAGGGACTTGAGTGTGCGCTCGCCAAGAGGCGGACAACCAGGAAGGACTCACAAATCAGGAGTGAAAAATGGGGGCCACTTAACTTTCCACCTGTCCCTAGAGAAACCTTGAGGGAATATCCTCCCACGCTCTCTCTCTCTCTCTCTCTCTCTCTCTCTCTCTCTCTCTCTCTCTCTCTCTCCCCCTTCTTTCCTTTCTCTAACTTCCACAGCGCTAATTTCCACCTTCACTTCTCATACCTCCATGTATGTGGAGATAATCTATATTGTAATTGTTTGCAAAATTGCAACAGATGGGAGCATCGAGATCTGGACACTTCTCCTCGTCAAAGAAAACCCTCTTTTTTATTTTTATTTTTATATTATTATATTTTTGCCTAAAATACATCTCGAGTCCCGCCTACGACTGTTTTCCTTAATTCATCTCCAAATTTAAAATAAAAATGCCTTGAAGCAAACAGAAAGGCTTATTAGCGACGTTCATTCTCTCTCCAGCCTTGGGCTGGGCTGAGGATGAGGCCCCCCCCCCCAACCCCGGGGGAAAGGGGGGGGGGGGGGGGGGGGGGGCCCCCCCCCCAGTGGCCCCCTGTCCGGCATGCTACCCCCATCCCCGCCCCACCTCCACACACACTCCGCACTCCTTCACTCTGATTGGCCTCGCGTTTCCAGCTCGGGACTGGCCGGCTCATTTCCCTCCATAACCTGTTACTTATTTATTTATTTCTGTGTCTCAGACCCCCGCGGGCCCCCGGGACCTGGGCGGGACTGGGGCAGGTGCTGAGGGCGGCGCACGCGTTTGCTGGCTCCTCTAAGGTCTTGGGGTCCCGGGATCGCCCCCCCAGGCACCTCGGCCGGGCCTTGCCGTTCCTCTTAGGACGCAGGAAGCCGATGCAAACACAAAATGGCAGGTCTTGGCCGCCCTCTACACCCGCAAGTTAGGCACCCCGTAAGCATCAGCTAACTTTGATTTTTAAAAAAATAATAATAATAATTGCCAATTACCCCCTTATTCCTAGGTGGAGTGCAGATCGCACCAAGCACGATGGCGGGGCTGGGGGTAGGCGAAGGTAACCGGGGACCGCCCCCCCTCCCCAGCCCCAGCACTGGAGCAAACGGGTAAAGTCGCTGGAGAAGTTTCCGCCGCGCAGCCTCCCCTCTCTCTCGGCTCCCCCGGCCCCCGACCCTGCGGAAAGTTTCCTCGGCCGCGAGCTGAGGCCGGGAGCGCAGGCAGGAGGCGCGAGCCGGGCCGGGTGGACGCCGGCTCCCACTGGCGCGTTGAGCGCTCGGCCCTGGGGACTCCCTTTCAAAGTAACGGTCCCGGGACTGCCGCTGCGGTGGGGAGGCGGCAGCCAGGGCGCGGGTCCCGCTCTCCCCCGAAGTTCTCCAGCGCCATTCGATGCCGGGTGGCCGCCTCTACTCGGTTTTCCTTCTCCTGTTTTTTATTTTTTTCTTCTTCCACATACCCCCCCTCCCTTTTCCTCTTAACCCCCGCTGACAGCTTCTCTTGCCAACGTCACAACCACGGATATTTAATTAGACCATATTTTTTAATCGCGATGGGGTGAGAAGCAACCGGGTTACAGGCCTCGCCTGGCGGGGGGAGGGGGAGGGGAAGAGGGGGGGAGAGAACCACGCCAAGTGTCCAAACTCACTTTGCCACCTCCCAGAGATCAGGGCCGCCCCCACCACCACCTGGCACCCTCGCGCCCCTCCACTCCGCCGCCCCCACCCCCAACCCCGGCCTCCCCACCACCTTTGTTTGCCTTACCTTAAAACATTAAACGCGGGCGTCGGGAGCAAACTCGGGCACGTAAACCGAGCGTTGTAAAAGATTGTGTTCAATGAATAATGAAACATGTCCACATGATTGACTTGATCATTTTCCGGGGCTGAGGGGGGACGGGCGCCCAGCTCGCGCGCCTCAGTCGCCCACTCGCCAGAGCCCGGCCAACTGCTCTCAGCCCAGCCCGAGCAGGGCAGGCTCGCTTTTCATCAACCTCATTTCAGAATCGCCCCGTTCATTGATACTCATCATCCAACCCCAGCAGACATCCCATCCCCTGCTCGGCCTCCCCCTATCTGGTAGGTGAAATGCATTGTACCATTAAAAACGCTCTCCATTGTCGCCCTGGCGTAATTCACAGCAACTAGATAGGTCTTTCAGCATTTAGCTTTGATGAGCCGGAGACTGAACCCTTGATATAATAATCTACAAAGAATGGTGTGTGGTCGTCCATTTTTTCTCTCTGTCTAGCAACTAAGAAACCATTTAACACAGCGCAGCTTGCTTCTGACCTTGAGCTCATGTAAACACACTTATTAAAATCTATCTATTCTCCAAGAGCTACATTCTGATTGTCAGACTCGTTACGGAGACATACATCAGCCCCTTCGCTTGTCACTACTTTGCATTCCTGCCTTTAACTAAAGAATTTTTTATCCAGCCGAGAGGCAGAGAGCGATTGCCACGGAGAGAGAGGAGAGAGAGAGAGACGCGGAAAGGGGGAGAGGAAAACGCGTAATTCTTACCTGCTCCTCAAACTATTTAAAGTCTGTTTCTTTTCTGGGGTGAAAAAAAAAACTCCCGGGTGAATCTCGGTGGACAGCGGGACGTGGAGAATCAGTCACAGCCCGGGCGTTTAAGGGAGTCATCAGCGATCAAATGACGTTGATCCGCGCTGTAACCTTGTGGCGTATTTAATGTAAATAAGGCCGTTATGTTGCCAATCGCCGCGATACAAACACCGAGAGGTCCTCAGCCTCGCCTCCCGCGCCTGCCATTAGAGGCGACTTTATTTACAGACACTATTTAGGAGATCATGATAATTCTAAAACAATACTAGTGCCAAATGATTATGAAAATATGATTTTAATTAATCACGTAGTAGGCAAGGAAATTAGCATACGGTAATTAAACTTCGAGAAAAACGTCATGCAGGTTCTCTGCCTTATGGGTCCAGAATAATCATCGCGGTGGGCTCCGAGACTTAATTACGAAACAAAATAACTTTTTTAAAGGCAACTTTGCAAGGCTGGTCCTCCAGGCGAACGTTTGGGTAAATAATACAAGCTGAGGTAACAAAGTGGGGATTTCAGTGATGCAGAGGTTGAGCTTCTGTGAAGCAAGGAAGCGGGTAGAGATGGGGGGAAGCCGAATAATGCAATTACGAATTCTCTGTCCTAGAGTTGACAAAAGCTGGTGCCTCAAAAGCCTCTTTGTTATGGGATTATATAATGATCCTGGTGTCATTATGGGTAAAGAAAAAAAAGAAGAAGAAAGAAAGAGAGAGAGAGAGAAAGAAAGATTCAATAATAATAAAAGAAGTAAGTATGCAGAGACACCAACAAGCAGCTTGCTTTTAAAGAAAGGCTGGCATGTGGCATTGGGTATGCTGATATGAGGACAAGGTCCTACAGACTGAGTTGACAGACTGAGTTGACAAATAAAGGAGATGGGCGAGGAGAGAGAGAGAGAGAGAGAGAGAGAGAGAGAGAGAGAGAGAGAGAGAGAGAGGGCCTGTGCTGTGCGCAGTTAAGAAGGGATGAAGAGAGATTGATTATACAAAACGCCCAGCCACTGAGACACTTAAGCACTGATTCAGGTAATGCAGGTTCCAACTTGTCTGAACTAAGTTCCCCCTCAATACGACTAGAGGGTTTTAAACTCCCCGCACCACAATACATCAAACGCAAAGATACAGAGAAAGCTCTCTCCAGCTGCCCACCACCCTTTCAGCTTCAGCGGAAGGATCCACTCAGATGAAAGCAGCAGTTCTAGAGTGAGGACAAGGCTCAGAAACTTGGGAGGAGCTACCAGCATCCGGCCTGGTGGG